TATACAAGACTGCTGCAGTTTAAAATGTAAAGATTGTTTTGGATGTAAGATAAAAAAATTTTTACATATAAATATAATTTTCAAGTCATATATAATATACATATTCATATTCTTTTAGTAATTACCCTTTAATTTATACCATCTTAAACTGTATTTTTCAAAAAATAATTCTTATCTGTGAGTCTAATTATAAAATCATGAAATAAATTTTTTTATGTTTTACTATATACATGTATACGTATATGTAATTTTAAATCGGGTGATACTTTTTAGGGGCACTGTAATGTACGCAATGTTTGAAATTGGTTTAAAAATTATCTGCGCAAGCGCATATCTTTTATAAATGTAATATAACAATTATTTAAGCGCAGTCTATTTAAATGACCTTTTCTATCATTGAGCAATTTATCTTACAAAGATCAAACAAGAAGGCAGACAGGCAGAAAAAGCAGCAAAGCGTACGTTAGTATCTCTCTGGGGACGATTATTCTCAGATGAACGAAGACCGGGCCCACATCGGCGTATGGCACCATTTATTTCAGCAAGAGGACATAAAACAATATCGGAAAAAATCATCCCATTAGAGGATCGTGTAAAGCAAATTCACACAGATGGATTTATTATTTCGAGCAAAAATACTGAACAGCTGATTGTAAAATATGAAAGTGCGGTGGTGAGTGATCTAAAAATTATAAAATCAGGTATCGTGTCGATAAAGAATGTTGATGAATTTAAAATGGGTCGATTTTGAAGAAATAATTCCACGAAATCGGAAAATTCACCCACCCGTTACTTATCATTACCAAATGAGGTTCTTGATAGAATTTTCCAAATATCATAGAAAGAATAGGGACGAGAAAATGTATCCTCTTTATTAGTTAATAAGCAATGGTATTATATTGCTAGCAGACTAATATGGCAAAAAAATCTCTATCAGGTAAGCCAGTCGCATGTGCACAAGTATTAACCGTGAATTTTGTCGGAAAAATAAAATCTAGAGCCAAATGTTTGCATTTCCAAAATGTGTAAGGTATGCTCAGATTTACAAGAACGCGTTTACTTAACAATAAGAGTTTAGAGCGCTTCTAGGTGAGTGCCCAAAATTAAAATCACTCTCATTAATCAATTTTAGGCGCTTAAATCCAAAGACATTTACAAAAATTCCTCAACTATGTCCTAGTTTGGAAATAATAGAAATTAAAAATTGTTTACGGATTAGAGAAGATATATTAATCGTTTTGCAAAACTTATATCCAAAAATAAAGTTTATGTTTATTGAAAATGATTAGGAGCGATAAAATCTGTTTTCCTTAGTTAAGGGAGTTTTTTTCTGGCGCAATAAATATCCAGTTAAGAAAACAACACTTGAAATGGCATACGTAGAATGTAAAATTTGCCTTTTTCCAATAAAATAAGACATCAAGAAGAGCGTTACAAAGCAACAGAAGAGGGGTATATACACTACATAGTAAAGGCATTGATTGATACATCATCCAGCGCAAATAAAATTAGAAAAAGATTGGCTGATAAGCTTGGAAAAAAATACGGTAAGCATTATAAAGATAAAAGAGTGAAAAAATCATTAGGTACTTTATTCGAATCGGGGGAAACTGGATTTAAATCCGAAGGTCGAATACGGTTTCAACTCCTTGCAGAAAAAGAATAACAGATAATGAAATGTAATGCAGCATTTATGCAAATGCATTGATCTGAATCTAATCAATTTTATCATATATATACTGATATTTAAAATACAAATATACAAAAAATTGGAAATGTTATGAGCGAGAGATATAACCTATTCTTTATGATATAAAGATATTTTAAGCTATTTTAATGTTAAGCTATAATAAAATATATTGATCGTCAATATAATAATATACAGTAACTATATGCTGTACAATACATACATGAATTTTCAAACCATCAATAAATAAAAATGAAAGAATTGAGCACTCTTTAAAATTGCTCATATTTAAAAGTGTGTAGATACATAACTGTATAAATTTTAACTCCATTAATGAAAATCTTTGATATCACGATTGAGGTGGTTTAATCTGTTGAATTTGTTGGACCGGTTAAGTTGTTTGAACCGTTTGGGCTCTCGATTTTCGTTTCGAATGACAATAAAGAGTTAGCACTACGACAATAATGCCAATAATAATTCCAGCTAATGCCCCAGGATATCTGACATAGGACTCGCATGAACAAAAAAGAAATCCACTATTGCAATCTGCACATTTTTTAGCGAGCAACCAAGTGCCATATTTTCGGTCGCAGCATGCGCTTAAGCCTTCGCAAGTAGATGGTAAATCTGGACAGTCAGACATTGATCTCTTTTTTTTCCAAGTAAATTTCAGTTAAGAAATTTCATTAAAGAGGGAAAACATTTATACTTACCGGTAATCACGTTATAAATTCTACGATATATCATTATAATAACAAAATTGGCAGCAAAAGATCACGCTGTAGCACCAAAGTGAAATCTTTATAATGCCACAAAAAGTAAACTTCTTCAAATAACACACCAATAAAAATAGTAAAGAAGTTGATTGTATTATATTACCAATGCAGAATCATATAATGGACTGCTGTTTGTGTCATATAGTAACATTTGAGTACAATCTTTGAACCTATCCCATCGATTTAATTTCCGGTTCAATTTTCAAGTCCGTATTTTTTTTATAGTTATTCTTTTTGAGTTTTCCAGTTACATGTATTAATTAATTATAACAATAATTAAAAATCTTTTTATAACGGTAATTATTTTAATTTTACTTTTTTCGGAGTGATGATCAGATTGATCGCATTTCACCCGCACATGTGCTACAAAATACATGTACATGCAGATCGATTGACCTGTGCATCGTTTAAAATATCCCGCGAAAGTTTTTTTGCATCTGCGCAACGAGCAGATTGTTTCTAAAAAACACATTGAGCTGCGCAACTAATCTCTAATCTGCGCTGCGCTGATTGCGAGGCTAATTTTAAACACCGGATGTGCGTCATCTTGAAAAAAGGTAGCCGGATAAAATTTTCTTTTTATATTTCTTTTTATTTATTATGTAAATATTTTAATCTAGAAAGAAAATTTCACTTTTATAATGTCTTTTTATTACATGTAGTTCAGGAATACTTTTTCAAGGTATTGTATTGGGATCTGCGATTCTAAAATGATTGGTCGATTGTGATTTTTTTCGCGTGATTTATCGGGCATACATAAAGGAGATCCGAAATTCCTTCTAGAACAACGTTTCATTGATAACAGTGCGCCTATGGGCTGAATGAGTGAATAAGTTATTTGTATTGCACAGTCGGATATTCCTCTCTATAAGCAATGTGCCACGAGCATTTATTGGGTTGCACATGTTTTAATTATGAATGAAGTTCATTGAGGGTAGTTTTATTGTTTTATTACTTGTTTTATTACTTGTGATCTTTTATCATCTGACTGTATTAAAAATATATTATACAAAAACAGGTGGATAAATGCCTCTTTTTTTTCTGGGCTTCCTGCGCTTGGCCGACTAGATTAGTAATGGTGGAAACCATAAACGCCAAAAGAGCATAAATGATTTATGTATGCGCGGTGGCAGTGGGCGTTTCTTTTATGTTGTTAATACTTTAAATGATTTTTATCCGCACTTGTGTTTTGACAATTTTTATTTTGAACAGCTGATTGTTTTTAGTCAACAATGGCTCAATTAGTTTCATCAAATTTTACTTAAGCTAAATTGGGTTCAACTAACGCAAATACGTATTTTTTAAGCGCATGCATTATACTGAACATGTACATGTATGTTGTCATTAACGTTAAGGCAATCACATGTACATGTGCATTATTAATCTAATTACAATTCGGAATTTTGGGTGTTACTCAAAACTTTAATAATTACATGTATATGTACAGTACATGTATATTGAAATGCCTGTTTAGCATCATCTTTAATCAAGTAATTCAATAAATTCAACAATAATCGCGTCGCGCATAGAAATAGACATTTTCAGACTAATGGATCGCATAACTGCCCGGCGCCAATTCAAAATAGTAATCGAAAAGCCGAAGGCGTAATAAATTAATTGGTTTTGCCTATTTACAATACCTAATATATTAACAAATTAGTATTAAATATAACGAGATATATGTAAACCACAAATGGAAATTTTTATTCAAGCATCAGCACAACAATAATGATAACGATAAGAAAATCAAATTTTCAGAACCGTTACTATTTCTCACTTTCATATATAAAAATAACATGAGAGAAACTAATTATCGTTAAAAAATGAGCGCCACCATAGAATCTCATTGTAGTGAATGCGAAGATTGTCAAAAAAACGAATACTGTACAGAATGTTTTGAAAATCACTATCAATTTTATGAATGGTCTAGCGGGAATAAAGATATCGACAATTTAATAAGGCGTTGCATTATTGATTACACCTTTTCTTCTTTCCACTGGATCCCTTTCGAAAGATTTAAAAATGTTGAATTGCTTACCAAAGGAGGTTTTGGAACAATTTACAAGGCATTCTGGTTGGATGGTCCATTTGAAAAGTGGGATCATGAAAAAAATAAATTTGAACGCCCAAATGAATTTGTTGTGTTTAAAATCATTACGTGATTCAGAATTTGAAAAAGAGGTAAATTAAATAATTTTTAATATTAAAGCATGACACTTCTTTACTTTTCTAATTCAATCAAATTTTGAATAATAGATTCAAGCTACTATAGCGTGCAGTAATAGAGGTTATTATGGAATAACGCAAAGCCCAGAAAAAAACGAATATTTGTTAGTAATGGAGTATGCAAAAGGTGGTGATCTGCGCAAACACATTACAAGTAGTTTCATTGATACATGGAAACAAAAATTAAGTTACATGTATGATATTAACAATGAACTGCTATCGATTCATGATCTGGAATTTATACATTGTGACTTGCACCCTGGAAATATATTAATATTGTATGACTGTGACGTTCGAATTATCGATTTTGGACTTACCGTTTCAGCGAATATAGAAAAATCCAACCAAGATATTTTTGGGGTGCTTCCATATATTAGTCCAGAGGTGTTAACTGGAAAACCATACACTCAAGCTGCAGATATTTTTAGCTTTGGGATGATAATGTACGAGATTGTAACAGGCAAACAACCATTTAGCGACACAGCTCATGAATTCAGTGACGAAGCTCATGATATAACCTTTATGTGCGACGTCATTAACGGAGTGCGACCCGAGATACCAGATAACGTTCCCGGGTTATGTAAATTTATTATTAAAAAATGTTGGGATCCTATTCCAGAAAACAGACCAACTGTTTGGGACCTTGACGAGTTTTTCAGGTCCATCTTGTTCGACAATATCAATGAAGAATGGAAACTGAATGCTTTGCATTTAGAGTACTACAGCTTTTTAAAAACAAATGAAGAGATTAAAGAGTGTCTGAAACTAGCTAGAGAAAAATGGGTGGAACTTGATGAGATGAAGTCGTCGCAAAATAACATCTCTACGAAAAAACAACAAGTACATGTGGGTGCAATTTATACCAGTCGAAAGTTTAAGGCAATTTCAAATTGTACAGATACGTATAGGTATATGTCTGTACAATATAATATAGATATCGATGACGAATCAAATGAAGGTAAAACTATTTAGATAAAATACTTTTAGAATTCTTGTAGTTGTTTCAATATCTATAATATCTTGATGATTTTTTAAACCTAAATTTCAAAGGTCATGAAACGA